GGGGGGGGGGGGCGGGGGGGGGGGGGGGGGGGCGGGGGTTATGAGGAGGGGGCTGGGACCCATCAGGGATTATGGGAGGGGGCTGGGAACTTCCTGAGGGGATCTGGGATAGTAGGGAGGGGGATCAGGGAGACCCTGGGGGGGTCAGAGATAGTGGGGACGGGGCTGGAGGGGGTCAGGGGTCGTGGGGAGGGGGCTGCGACCTCCAGAAAATGATCAAAGGGGCGGGGTCAGCGATAATGGGGGTGAGGAGTGAAGGGGCGGGGTCAGGGCTGAGGGGCGGGGTCAGTGGGAGGGGGCGGGGCTGGGAGCACAGGGGAGCCCCCCCAGCCCCTCCCCCCTTACCGGGGTACACCAGGAAGTCGCCCCCGAATTTCCCGCCCGGGGTCAGGTGCAGGCCCCTCCCCCACAGCTCGCGGAACACGCGGGAACGGCGCTCGGCGCGGGGGGAGGGGCGGCCGCGCTCTGAGGGGAGGGGGAGGGGAGAGCTCAGAGCGGGCCTGCCCCCCCCCCACACCGCCCCTCCCCCACCTGCCGGGGTCTCCTCTTCATCCTCATCGACCTGAGGGGGGGGAGGGGCGGATTACGAGGGGCTCCGGGCGCGCCCCTCCCCCACCCCCGCCCCTCCCCCCTCCCCTCCGGTACCGGCTCCACGGTGGCTCCGCCGCTCTCCCGCAGCGCCCGCGCCTCCTCCGGCCTCAGCTGCAGCGGCAGCCGCGGCCCCGCCGCCATCGCGGCCCGGCCCCGCCGCGGGGGGTTCCCGACCAGCGCCCCCCACACGCGCTGCCGCTCCCGCAGCGTCCGCACCGCCCCCGGAGCCCACACCAGGAACCGCCCGCGCTGCCGCCGCACCCGCGGCAGCTCCGCCACCGAACCCGGGGGGGTCCCGGGGGTCTCCGACTCCTCCTCGCCCTCGCAAACCCCCGGGACCCCCGCGGGCCCCGCCGCCATTTTGCGCCCGGCCCCCCGGAAGTGGCTCTGAGGGCTCCCGGAAGTGAGGCCGCGCGTCCCGGCGGTTTTAAAGCGGCGATGGCGAGTGGGCCCCACCGGAGCCGGGACAGGGTTATGGCAGGGACTCAGACCCTTTTAAGAGCGGCTCTTAAAGCGGCTTAAAGAGACAGAGCCCTTTTAAACGCCGCCATTGTGGGCCCCACCAGCCTTAAAGGGCCAGGCCTCCTGTAAGGATTTTAAATCCGCTCCCTTAAAGGGCCAGAGCGCTTTTAATCGCGTTCCGCCCCATCCTAACGCGGCCTGAGCTCGCTCTGAGGGCCCCTTAAAGGGACGACCCCTTTAAAACCCCCCCCACGTGGTTCCCACCCCTCCTTAAAGGGCCAGACCCCTCTCCCTCTCTTAAAGGGCCAGATCCTCTTAAAGAGCCCCCCCGAAATCGCTACCTGGGGCTCCCCGGGCCCCGCCCATCGGAGGGCGTGGCTTAAATACGACCACACCCCTTAAACACGCGTGGGCGTGGCGTTTGCGCTTGTGGGCGGGGCTTACCCAGGCCCCGCCCCCTCCGCCCCCGCGCTGAAGCCGCGGAGCCTCGCAGGGGCCTCGGGGGGGTTTTGGGGGGGATTTTGGGGGTCCCGGGGGGGATTTTGGGGGCGCCATGGACCGCGAGGAGCTGACGTACCTGGGCGTGCTGCTGGGCTCCATCCCCGTGGGCTTCGTGCTCAAGGGGCGCGGTGAGGGGGGCTGGGGGGGATTT